AGAAAGTGAATGTATAAGACAAGTGTTATGAATGCTTCACTGAGTGTAGATAAGTGAGTAATCTTATATTATACTTCATACACTTCAGCTTATACTATCTTGTATTAAATGAAGAGCTTTTAATATCTTTCTATTTACAGATCTTCATTCATAGTCTTATATCTGAGTTGAGAGTGAAATGAAAATGCTTAACCTTGTAATCAGATATAATGAAAGAAGTATATAATATTCTCATTATATGAAAACAAGTGAGTCAATTATAATAGAAAATACTGCAATTGAGTATATCTCAGTGAAGAATGAGTAATCAGACTTCTATAATACAAGTTACACATCTGAATATAATGAATCTAGATTCAAATGCTATCACTAAAGCACTGAATCTCTTGAAAAAGAGATTTTCTAAGTGAAAATCTTGATATCATAAGCATTGAGCTTGCTTTAACTGTGAATGTTAAAATCATGATATAAAGAATTGCATATAACATGTGCAGTCAAGAGAAATAAGAGAGTTAAAAAACTAGCAGAATCAGTGAGCTTGAAGACACTCACTGATATTCTATGAAAAGTCTTTCAAGTGAAAGAGATGTCTGTGTTAGATGACTCTCTAAATTCTGTAAATATCAAGAGAAAGCAGGCTTCTGAATAAGATGTGAGTGAGAATGAAGCAGATACTTATCTCAATACCTTGAGACCTGAAATGTTAATGTATAAAGAGCACTTGAATAAGAATCAAGAGATGACTGTAAAAGTGTTAATGAACATAGAAGCTTCTATATAATATATTAATAATTATATAATCTGAAGACTGAAAGAGATTCACTGAGTGAAGAATCCCTGATGTATAAGATTGTCTGATAACTGATATTTAATATCATCTGTAAGAGTAAGAGTTTTCTTATACTTCAGAGAATAATCTTGCTATATTTAAGCATGAGAGCTGTAGAACATGAAATATAATCTTATTCTTAAACTTGATTGATTTCAAAGATTCAATCTGCAGATTCAATGATGTACATATCATATACAGTTAACTGATAGAAAGAAAACAGTTCATACAATTCTATTAACTGATATGAGAAGGACATTTCATATCTCTGATATAGAAGAATTAAATCTACTTATGCATTAATAAGTAAGAAGAATGATTTATAAGACCTTATCTGAAAGTATTCTGTATATCATACAGAATCTGAAAGCAGAGAAAATCAAGATAAATAATATACAGAAGAATAAGTATATGAAGAAACTTCTAAAGAAGTATGAAAAGATCTTCTGAATAGATCTTTCACTGAAATTGCTGCTGAAACAAGGATTTATACATGAGATTGACATGAGAAACATGAAACCAGTCAATCAGAATGCATACTCTCTGTCATAAATACATTCTGAAGAACAGAAGTATCAGATTACAGACCTTCTAGAATGTGATCTTATATGATTCTCATTAAGTGTGTGAGGCTTTTCAGTTCTATTTATGAAAAAGGCAGGTGAGAAGTGATGAATATGTATTAATTATAGAGCACTTAACAAGCTTATAATCAAGAATGAATATTCACTGTCACAGATTCAATAATGATTGAATATAATTGAAAACACCTGATATCTATTGAAGATTAATCTTCTCTCAGAATACTGACAGATCTGTGTAGAGAAACTATCAGTACTGTGAACTGTGTTTAATATGTAATGAAAGAAGTTTGAATTTCTGATAATACTATTTGATCTGATAAATATATCTGTTTTCTTTCAAACAATGATGAATATGATTCTTTATAAATAGAATGAAACCTCATGTCTTATATATCTGAATGACATTCTAGTCTTCTTAAACTCATATAATGACTATCTGAAGTATTTTAATAAAGTGCTTATAACTCTGACAGAGTATAAGCTCTATATTAAATTAATAAAGTGTGTGTTTAAAACAGAAGAGTTGAAGTTTATAGAATATGTAGTGAGTGATGACTGTATACACCTTATTCTGAAGAAATTAAATGTTATAGTGAATTAGCTGTGACTGAGAAATGTATATTATATACAACAGTTTCTTAAGTTAGTCTCATATTACTACAGATTTATCAAGAATTTCATATGAATAGCTGCATCACTCTCAGATCTCTTAAGAGAAATGAATGCTAATCTGTGAAAGAAGAAGTTTCAGTTAATCATCTGAAATACTGTGTGTGAAGAGGCTTTTCTCACACTGAGAAAATATGTAATAATATTCTCAGTGCTTATTCAATCAGATTATAATAAATCTTTCTATATTGAAATGAATGCATCTGAATGAGCTATCAGAGATATTCTTCTACAGATGAGTAAGAATAACAAGCTGCACTCAGTGATATATGATGATGGAAAACTATCAGGTACTGAGCTCAATTACTCAGTGTATGAAAAGAAATTGCTAGTGATCAAGCACACACTGATATTATAAGATAGATATATTAACAATGAGTATACAATAACAGTGATCACAGATTACAAAAGCCTTATATATCTATAATTAATAATAAAACCTTTCAAACACTTAGCATGTTAGATCTCAGAGTTATAAGTATACAATCTTCATATCAAATACTGAAAGAAATTGAACACTGTGATATCTGATACAATCAGTTACAGATCTGATTTCATGAGTGAGAGTTCTGTGAATGAGATATAAGAAAAGTTTGTATTAAACACACTGAGAGAATGCAAGAAATCAGAATAAGTGAATACAATAATCTCTCACTTAGAGAATGATAAGATATCAGATAATAAGCATTTTATGAAAGTGATAGAAGAGATACTTCTGAACTTTAAACTGAAGAAATTGAAAAATAATATTGTACTTTACTGTAATCTATAATATGTGAAAGCTCTCTATCTGAAACATTTATTTAGATGTGACTTCATAACTTGTATACACAAGGAATTCAGTCACTTAGAAAGCTCTGAACTTATGAGTATACTTGAATCAAGAGTGTACCAGCTAAGCATGACTGAGAACATTCAGATGTACACTCATAAGTGTCTGAATTATCAGATTGTGAAAGAATCTAAGAAAGAATTAGAATGTGAGAAAGTGTAATATCAGATGAAATGTATGATACAACTGTTCAAATAATAAGAGATGAATCTCATAGACATAGTACTGTGAATATCAAATGAAAATTGTTAAATAATCACTGCTATTGACTACACTACTGACTGATCAATTGTAAAAGCAGTTTCAGAGATGACAGAGATGATAGTGATAAAGTTTCTATATAATAAGATCTATGTTATCTATGAAATACTATACAAGATTCTAACTGATAATGATGTGAATCTTATAGAAGAAGTGATAAGGTATTTCACAAATCAGTTACAGACAAGACATTGTAGAATAACATTATATCATTCATGAATAAATGAGAAGATGAAATGTTTGAATGAAATCCTGAGTAATATACTGATGAAATATCTAGTGAGTAAGTCTACAAGATTATGAGATGAATATCTTGATCAGATGCTATTAGTCACACAAATTTAACAGCATATAGTCTTCAAGTGTTTATCATTCTATCTATTATATGAATTGCATCTACGCATTCTGAAGAATACTTTGAAAAAGGTAGAGAAGAGAACAGTGATTGCAGATACAGCAGAAACAACAGTTACAGATATAACAGTCACAGATATGAAACTAAGATTGAAAGAGATTAGTTATACACATGTAAAAGCTAATAAGTTACTTCTGAACTGAGCAATTCAATTGAAAAGAATACAAGACTCACTAGTTAAGAAATTGAGTCTCAAGATAAAAATATGAGTTCTTATATATAATGAGAGTTCTGAGAAGTTTCAATCTAGATGATGTAAACTATATAAAATACTCAAATCACATTCTCTGAGAATATATGTATTGAAAGAATCAGAGAAACAGATCTTATATAACTTAATAAATGATTCATATCTTATAAAAGTAAAGATACAAGATCTGAGTGAATTATGATTATTCACAGCACTATTATCAGTGTTGAAAAAGAAGAGACTTATAATTGAAAAGTCTTATAAAGTAAGAGAAATCATAGATACTTATAAATCAGATAATCTCACTTATTTCAATCTTTTCACAATTATAAGAAAAGAATGAGAAGAAATGAAGAAATTAGATAAATATCATACTTTAATAAGTGATAAGACTGTAGCTGATTATATAATAATGTACTATAAATAGTGAGTGCAATATGATAAAGAGCAGTCTCAGAGCAGCAGACTTACACATAAATCAGATTATAGAAGAAAAAGAAATTCAGAGTTGAATTTAACTGTTTACATCAGTTCAATTATAGAGATAATAGAGAATGAAGTATCTGAAACATCTGCAGATACATGAGATTAAGCTATCTTAATCTTTGAGAATGCTCAGAGATCAGATAAGATTAGTTTTAATAAGCTATTCACTGTAATAGTCTGAGCAGGTGAAGAGAGATAGAATAATGTATAAGACAGAATTATAAAAGATGAAAGCTACTGAATCTAGTCACTGAATACTGTATTATATAGAGATTGTATAAGAGTAGTAACTAATAGATAAAGAAAAAGTATAAGAAAAGAAAAGAAATAATAAATTAATCATCAATTGTAAGAGTCAGCTGTAAAAGACAAATATTATTATACATATCTCATTCATTTTCATATGTTATATATTTAATCTATTTTCAACATCACATCACCTGAAAAACATTAAAAATAAAGAAAATCTTAAAACTCAAGATCTGTAAAAGATTCAAGAGCTGTAAGCTGCTCTTGTAATAACACTGTATATATCTCTGATTTCTCTATCACTCTGTGTATGACATTAATATCATTTATTGCAAGATTGACTGAAATATCAATATAGAAATGTGTACATGTACACATAGAAAAATTGAAGAAGAGTGTGAAATCTGCAGGATCAGAAGTCAAGACAGAAGAAATGAAGACAGAAGAAATAAAAGAAGAAGAGAGCACAGAACTGAATGAATAACAGTGAAAGTTATCTGAGATTGAATGCTTATAATCTGATGTATGCATAACCTTCTCTGCAGAGAAGAAAGAGAAAGTGATGAGAGAAGCTTGAGAGTGAGAGAAAGTAGTCTCAGCAGTGTAATTATCTTTGATTAGAATGATCTCTGATACTGAAGCAACTAAGAATCATTATTAGTGTATAAAAACTGTAAAATAAGAGATAAGAACAGTTACTGAATGAACACTCACTGATCTTAGAGTTATATATACAATTACAACACATACAAGGCTTCTCAGAAAGAGAGAGAGAGACATAGAGAAATACAGAAAGTAGAATACAGTGTGTGAACAGCTCATTCTCATGATAATATCTCAGATAAGATGTATGAGCCTCATATCTGCAGATGTAAAAGAGTATGATATCTGTATTTCTGTTTCTGAAAACACAGATATCTTTTATCTGCATCATAAAGTCAGATAACAGATGTTAGAGAATAGATTAATATAGATCTATTATCTTAAAGAAATTTACTAGAGTAGATATACTTATAATATTAAACTTTACAGTTGTAAAAAGTTTCTTGATATCTGTAAATATCATAACTTTATATATAATAAAACTTATAATGATTTTTCTTAAGAACAGAAAAATCAGTGTTAGAAAGAAAAGATGAAAAAGAAAAAAACTTACAATCTCAACACTGTTGAGAAGAGAGATAATTCTCTGATATAAATAAATGATTATTTTATTATAAATATTTAAAATGAATATAATAATCAGTGTCTGTCATTAAGCTTCAGATAGTTGTATTATATACAGTCTTCATATAATAAATTATTTTAGAAGTCAGTAAGAAGAATGAGAGTGTATACTAAGAAATATGATTTATTAAGTCTATACAATATCTTCTTGAAATGAAGAGAGCTGATAATAAAAGTAGAGATGACAGAAGCAGAGAAAGTAGAAGTAGTAAAAGTAAGAGCTACAGAAACAGAGATAGTGAGAGTGAGAGAATCAGACACAGAGACAGATGTAAAAGATTGAGAGAAAGTGACAGAGAAAGAAACAGAGAGAGCAGAGAGAGATATAAAAGATCTAATTACATATAATATAGATAATTTCTTCATTATTATATCTCTCAAGTTCTTAATCAATAATTCAACATTGAGATCACAATTATCAGTGAATATGAATCTGTTAATATATGAAGATTCTATACAAATCAAAACAAATATATCAGTATCTGCAGACATGTAAAATAATCAGAAAATATAATCAGAAAACATAATCAGATATCTGCTAAAGAAAAGAGAGTTAAGAGTATATAAGAAGATAAAGAAGATATGTTATTCATAGTAGTATATTCTAATAATTATTAGAAGAGAAACAAGTTCTGATCACATTTCACAATATATTACACTTACTGCTAATAAACTGCCTGATATGAGTACTATGAGAACACTTGTTATAAAAACAGAGTGTCATCACTAGAAATATGTATAATGTGATAGATGAACAACAGATAGAAGATGTTGAATAAAAGAAGAGACAGGAATCTTGAATGAGATAATGATATTTGATGATAATGATAAGAAAGAAGATGATTGAAGAATGAGAAAAGTTAGTGAATAAGTAATATAATATAGTGAAAGTTTCTTTGTAAGAGTGTATACAGAATACTAGCTAAATCAGAAATAGATTATACAATTGTGAACACTAGTGATGCACTAATCTGCATGAAGCTAGAGTATATGTCATGATCACATGAGCATGATCAAATCTGGTAAGAAAGAAGGTGATTCAGAAAAATGTACAACTGCCAGATAATAACACAGCTGCTTCTGAACTTGCTTACAAATGTAAAGAGGTCATAGTGACCCTTAATTAATTTAGTGTACAGTATATAAGAAGGCGGTGTATGCCTGTAATCATACACTGACTCAAGCAACCTTTGAATCACACTGTCATATAATAGAAAGTATTAGATTGATTACAGAGTATCTGACAGAGAAACACTTCTCTTACAATATTCATTCCTGACTTTGACATCAAGATTCTAGAAGCAGATGATTAATCTTGAGAGAATTAAATGAAGATTAGTATGCTCAAGAAGACATTAACTTTCAAACTCTTACAGACTCTCATAAGTGTAGACAAAGACCAGACTTATGAAGATTTCTGCATATAACTTCAGATATTGAATGATTATCTTATCAAGCTCAAGAGTATACAGAACAGTGATAGAAGATGTTACACTTCAGTCACTTATATATCTATATTAAAGAATGACAATGTAGATGTCATGAATTGAGTAAACTTAAATATCTATATACAAGTAAGAGTCTGTACTGTCTGAATAAGCTTCTGAGTTTCTGAGATCACTTCTGAAGAAGTCACTGATCAATGTCAATGAGAAGTATATATCAACTGTAACTGATTAGAATATATTACTTTTAACTGCTAATCAGTCTATATATCTTCTCACTCAAAGAATAAATCAATATCTGTCTGTATCAATCACATTGCATTGAAGAAAGATTCAGAAGATAACTATGAGAATATCTCAATGAAACAGGGAAAAGATTAGCTTCTATTCAAATTCATAAACAGAAGCTTAAAGAGATCAGATGATAATAATTTAAAGAGAAAATAATAATAAACATGATTCTTATATCTACTGTAATCAATAATATGTATAATATAAAAGTCATGATAGACAGTGATCTATGTCATTATACAATGATTAAATCTTCAGTTGTAAGATATTACAATCTTCAGTGTATTATCTTATTAAAATTCTGACTTCTTGCAGAATTTAATAACTTAAAAGACATTTATATCTGTTACATAATGAAGTTAAATATAGATGTCAGAGAATATTAATATGAAGATATCTACATATATAAAGTTAATAATCTTGATTATAATCTTATATTAGAACTTGTTTGACTATCTGAATAAGATATCTTATTAAACACTTAAAATAGAAGCTTAATATTCTCTAATAATGATAGAGTTCATAAAGATAATATTCATAAGACTATAAATCTGACACAGATCCCTGTTAATATCTATAAAATACTTTGAAAAGAAAGTCACTGAAAAGATCACTGATAGTAAAATTATATAATAATCTATTTTATCAGTCTGACTGATATTAAGAAAGCTCTAGAGAAGTTATTCTGTACTACAATAATAGATTCTTATACAAAACTCTCTTAATAATATCACAAATATCTAGATATCTTCTAATAAGATAATATTATAAATATATCTCTCTTATAAGACTCAGTAGTAGATCACAGTATTAAGTTAGAAAAGAAGAATGATAAGAACTCTGAGTCATTATAAGACTCTCTTTATAATATATCTCAAGATGAACTTCTTCTTCTTCAGAAGACACTCAATAATCTGTTGAATAAGAGATTTATATATATTAGTAACTCTTTCACTGCAGCTTCTATTCTCTTTGTAAAGAAATCAGGTGAAGAACTCTGATTCTGTGTGAACCATTAAGAATTGAACAGATTAATCAAGAAGAATCACTATTCTTTATCTCTTATCAATGAAATTCTAGCTCTCATCAGACAAGCTCAATGATTTATAAAATTAAATATCATCACTATGTTTCTTAAAATTCATATTACTGAAGAAGATGAATGACTTACAGTATTCTGAATATGTTATAATCTCTTTGAATAAATAGTTATACTCTTTGAACTAATCAATACTCTCAGTATATTTCAGAAGTATATTAACTGAACACTCTGAAATTTCTTTGATAAATTTGTATCTGTATATCTTAATAACATTCTCATCTTTACTAATGAGTTCAGAAAAGAATATTAAGAACATATGTGAAGAATATTACAATGATTATAAGAAGCAGAACTATCAATAGATATTGATAAGTATAACTTTAAAGTCAAGAGTATCAAATATCTAGGTTTTATCATAGAAGCTGATAAGAGAATTTGAATGAATTCTGAGAAAGTCTCTGTCATTCTTGAATGAGAAGCTTCATATACTGTGAAAGATGTACAAATCTTCATCAGATTTGCTAACTTCTATCAGTAATTTATACAAAACTTCTCAGATATTGTAAGATTACTTATAGAACTCATTAGAAAGAACTCAGTATTTCAGTAATTAGCAGACACTGAAGCTGTATTCATACAGATAAAGAAGATATTCATCAACACTTCTCTGCTAATGATATTTAATCTTGATTATAAAATAGTTATTGAAGCTGACTTCTCTAACTATATTATAGAGAAAGCTATATTGTAATATAATAATAAATATATCTTACAATTATGCATCTTCATGTCTAAGAAACTGAGTCTCACTGAATACAACTATAAGATCTATGATAAGAAACTTCTTACAATTATATACTATCTAGAAGAATGAGACTCTGAACTCTGAAGTGTCTCTGAATTTGAGATAATCACAGATTATAAGAATTTCAAGTACTTTATAATAACTTATAAACTCACTGAATAATAGATGTGATAATCTGAGTTCTTAAATTACTTTCATTTTAAAATACACTACTGATCTGATAGATAGAACTCAATGATAGATACTCTCTCATAATAAGAGCAAGATATATCTTTCAATGTAACAGATATATATTGAATGAACTGAGAGTGTCAGCTCTTAGATCTGAAGATATTTATTGATTAAGATAGAATAACTCATGACATTATATATACTTCTCTGATTAGAACATTCTCTCTCTGAACTGATACTGATACTGATATCTTCACTTCTTCTATACTGAATGAACTGTGATATATAGTAGCTCAGACTGATGAACTTCTTCAGACTCTCACTGAAGCAGTATATCAAGAAGCATCTTGATTTCTCTCAGAACTATGTATAAGAATTAATATCTCAGAATATTTAATTAATGATAATAACACTCTACAATTTCATGAATAATATTGAGTTCTTCACTTTAAATTCTTACACATCTGAATAATGTAAGAGATATATAATTTATATATTATCAGTCACTCAGATTATAAATAATTATACTGAATAATCTCTTAAAAGTTCTACTGATCTAAGATATTAAACAGTATTAAATGTTTCATTTAAAACTGTAACTATTATTCTGTTATCATCTTATAAAAGAACTGTAGAAAAGACCTACTGAAATCACTTAATATTTCTGATAGAATCTGATAAGATGTAGTAATTGACTTTGCTGTTAATTTCTCTAAGAGTGTGGCAGGCTGCGCCTGATCAATCATATAGACTATTCTATTACACTTCATAGATTCTTTCATTTCTGATCACTGATCCTCGGCTGCTATGAATGCGCGTAATGTATGCTTCAATTCTCAGTCATTTCTGATCACTGATTCTCAGCTGCTACAAACGCGTGTATATTCTTCCGCCCTGAATCTCCACCGCGTACATCACCACATATGCATATAAATATTCATCTTAATTGCTGATTCTCACACTTTGTCTTTCTTTTCTTCTTTAACATTTTTATCTTTGTTATATAAGATCTATCAATATTATACTAATCTATTCAATGTAGATCTCTTACACTATAAAAACATTCATCATCTTCTTATTAGAAAACAATTACTCATGCATTATCTTCTCATTAGAAATGATTATTTATCAAGAGATATCTGAACATGTAATGATGTGTAAGAAATAGAGAAACAGTTAAACAGTTAAGCAGACACTGAGTCTTCAGATAAAAGCTTACTCACTAGTTACTCTGACTCTGTAACAAGATATTATGAAGAGAATAAGATCTTATAAAAGAATATCAGTAAAAGATCTGAGAGTTCTGACACTCAGATATATGAGAATATAATTACACTTCTTCAGATTTCACAGATATCATATATTCAATAATTGATATAATCATATCTAATGATAATATGAAACCCTCAAATGTGAGCATAGATATGATGTCACAGTGACTCTGAGCAATGTTGAAATTATAACAGTAACAGATAGCAGACATGCATGTGACTCAATAACTTCAATATAAAGAGATTCAATAATTAACTCATGCAATTTCAACACCTACAGAATTAAGTACAAAAGTGCTGAAAGAATGCTTAGATACTCTCACATATTTTAATGGTTTTGATCTCACTCTCTACTCATCATGAAGGATGGAAATGCTCATTAAACTGAGTGTAGATGAAGATATCATCAGTTCATTAATCAATCAAG